TCAGACTCTACAGTCACTGACAACTGTTAACCAAGATACAGCACACCAGGTACACTCAGACTCTACAGTCACTGACAACTGTTAACCAAGATACAGCACACCAGGTACACTCAGACTCTACAGTCACTGACAACTGTTAACCAAGATACAGCACACCAGGTACACTCAGACTCTCTACAGTCACTGACAACTGTTAACCAAGATACAGCACACCAGGTACACTCAGACTCTACAGTCACTGACAACTGTTAACCAAGATACAGCACACCAGGTACACTCAGACTCTACAGTCACTGACAACTGTTAACCAAGATACAGCACACCAGGTACACTCAGACTCTACAGTCACTGACAACTGTTAACCAAGATACAGCACACCAGGTACACTCAGACTCTCTACAGTCACTGACAACTGTTAACCAAGATACAGCACACCAGGTACACTCAGACTCTACAGTCACTGACAACTGTTAACCAAGATACAGCACACCAGGTACACTCAGACTCTACAGTCACTGACAACTGTTGACCAAGATACAGCACACCAGGTACACTCAGACTCTACAGTCACTGACAACTGTTGACCAAGTTACAGCACACCAGGTACACTCAGACTCTCTACAGTCACTGACAATTGTTAACCAAGATACAGCACACCAGGTACACTCAGACTCTACAGTCACTGACAACTGTTAACCAAGATACAGCACACCAGGTACACTCAGACTCTACAGTCACTGACAACTGTTAACCAAGATACAGCACACCAGGTACACTCAGACTCTACAGTCACTGACAACTGTTAACCAAGATACAGCACACCAGGTACACTCAGACTCTACAGTCACTGACAACTGTTAACCAAGATACAGCACACCAGGTACACTCAGACTCTACAGTCACTGACAACTGTTAACCAAGATACAGCACACCAGGTACACTCAGACTCTACAGTCACTGACAACTGTTAACCAAGATACAGCACACCAGGTACACTCAGACTCTACAGTCACTGACAACTGTTAACCAAGATACAGCACACCAGGTACACTCAGACTCTCTACAGTCACTGACAACTGTTGACCAAGATACAGCACACCAGGTACACTCAGACTCTCTACAGTCACTGACAATTGTTAACCAAGATACAGCACACCAGGTACACTCAGACTCTCTACAGTCACTGACAACTGTTGACCAAGATACAGCACACCAGGTACACTCAGACTCTCTACAGTTACTGACAACTGTTAACCAAGATACAGCACACCAGGTACACTCAGACTCTCTACAGTCACTGACAACTGTTAACCAAGATACAGCACACCAGGTACACTCAGACTCTCTACAGTCACTGACAACTGTTAACCAAGATACAGCACACCAGGTACACTCAGACTCTACAGTCACTGACAACTGTTAACCAAGATACAGCACACCAGGTACACTCAGACTCTACAGTCACTGACAACTGTTAACCAAGATACAGCACACCAGGTACACTCAGACTCTCTACAGTCACTGACAACTGTTAACCAAGATACAGCACACCAGGTACACTCAGACTCTACAGTCACTGACAACTGTTAACCAAGATACAGCACACCAGGTACACTCAGACTCTCTACAGTCACTGACAACTGTTAACCAAGATACAGCACACCAGGTACACTCAGACTCTCTACAGTCACTGACAACTGTTAACCAAGATACAGCACACCAGGTACACTCAGACTCTCTACAGTCACTGACAACTGTTAACCAAGATACAGCACACCAGGTACACTCAGACTCTCTACAGTCACTGACAACTGTTAACCAAGATACAGCACACCAGGTACACTCAGACTCTCTACAGTCACTGACAACTGTTAACCAAGATACAGCACACCAGGTACACTCAGACTCTACAGTCACTGACAACTGTTAACCAAGATACAGCACACCAGGTACACTCAGACTCTCTACAGTCACTGACAACTGTTAACCAAGATACAGCACACCAGGTACACTCAGACTCTCTACAGTCACTGACAACTGTTAACCAAGATACAGCACACCAGGTACACTCAGACTCTACAGTCACTGACAACTGTTAACCAAGATACAGCACACCAGGTACACTCAGACTCTCTACAGTCACTGACAACTGTTAACCAAGATACAGCACACCAGGTACACTCAGACTCTACAGTCACTGACAACTGTTAACCAAGATACAGCACACCAGGTACACTCAGACTCTACAGTCACTGACAACTGTTAACCAAGATACAGCACACCAGGTACACTCAGACTCTACAGTCACTGACAACTGTTAACCAAGATACAGCACACCAGGTACACTCAGACTCTACAGTCACTGACAACTGTTAACCAAGATACAGCACACCAGGTACACTCAGACTCTCTACAGTCACTGACAACTGTTAACCAAGATACAGCACACCAGGTACACTCAGACTCTCTACAGTCACTGACAACTGTTAACCAAGATACAGCACACCAGGTACACTCAGACTCTCTACAGTCACTGACAACTGTTAACCAAGATACAGCACACCAGGTACACTCAGACTCTCTACAGTCACTGACAACTGTTAACCAAGATACAGCACACCAGGTACACTCAGACTCTCTACAGTCACTGACAACTGTTAACCAAGATACAGCACACCAGGTACACTCAGACTCTCTACAGTCACTGACAACTGTTAACCAAGATACAGCACACCAGGTACACTCAGACTCTCTACAGTCACTGACAACTGTTAACCAAGATACAGCACACCAGGTACACTCAGACTCTCTACAGTCACTGACAACTGTTAACCAAGATACAGCACACCAGGTACACTCAGACTCTACAGTCACTGACAACTGTTAACCAAGATACAGCACACCAGGTACACTCAGACTCTCTACAGTCACTGACAACTGTTAACCAAGATACAGCACACCAGGTACACTCAGACTCTCTACAGTCACTGACAACTGTTAACCAAGATACAGCACACCAGGTACACTCAGACTCTACAGTCACTGACAACTGTTAACCAAGATACAGCACACCAGGTACACTCAGACTCTCTACAGTCACTGACAACTGTTAACCAAGATACAGCACACCAGGTACACTCAGACTCTCTACAGTCACTGACAACTGTTAACCAAGATACAGCACACCAGGTACACTCAGACTCTACAGTCACTGACAACTGTTAACCAAGATACAGCACACCAGGTACACTCAGACTCTACAGTCACTGACAACTGTTAACCAAGATACAGCACACCAGGTACACTCAGACTCTACAGTCACTGACAACTGTTAACCAAGATACAGCACACCAGGTACACTCAGACTCTCTACAGTTACTGACAACTGTTAACCAAGATACAGCACACCAGGTACACTCAGACTCTCTACAGTCACTGACAACTGTTAACCAAGATACAGCACACCAGGTACACTCAGACTCTCTACAGTCACTGACAACTGTTAACCAAGATACAGCACACCAGGTACACTCAGACTCTCTACAGTCACTGACAACTGTTAACCAAGATACAGCACACCAGGTACACTCAGACTCTCTACAGTCACTGACAACTGTTAACCAAGATACAGCACACCAGGTACACTCAGACTCTACAGTCACTGACAACTGTTAACCAAGATACAGCACACCAGGTACACTCAGACTCTCTACAGTCACTGACAACTGTTAACCAAGATACAGCACACCAGGTACACTCAGACTCTACAGTCACTGACAACTGTTAACCAAGATACAGCACACCAGGTACACTCAGACTCTCTACAGTTACTGACAACTGTTAACCAAGATACAGCACACCAGGTACACTCAGACTCTCTACAGTCACTGACAACTGTTAACCAAGATACAGCACACCAGGTACACTCAGACTCTCTACAGTCACTGACAACTACAGTATTAACCAAGATAAATAGTAAACAGTGAAAGGAAAATCCATTTTTGAGGACATTTTAAATTTGAGTAAAAAGGAGGAAACCTTGATCATATCTATGAGGATAAGCAACAGCAGCAATTATTTGATCCAGACTTAAATGGTTAAAACACAAAAAAAATAATTATTTTATATTTTTACAAATTTGGGAAAAAATACAAAAAAATGGTGGACTTGAAAAAAACCCGCCCTGATTTTACCTCAGTCTCAAAATAAATAATTAACAACGATAACTGGATAATTCTTCAGGTATTTCAAAATATGTTCCTCAGTTTTTGTTTTTTTGTTTTTTTGTAATTTGTATTCTGGCTCATAGGCTTCTTCCAACATTGATACTTTTTAAAAGAGCTTTGATAGTGATACCAACAATAAAGTGTGATAAACAAATGGACATTGAGGCATTAACAGAGTGCATTAACATGATAAAAGATAGTCAGTCTCCAGGTGATGACGGGATAACACTGAACTTTTATAAGAGTTTTTCTAAAGAACTTTCACCCTTTCAATATTATCAGTATTTGTAGAAGCAATACAAAAAGGTGAATTGCCCATAACATTGATTATAACATTGACTCCCAAACCTAATAAGGACACGTTATTTAGTGGAAATTGGAGGCCTATTAGTTTGCTCAATAATGACAGTAAGTTGTTAGCAATGATTTTTGCCTGAAGAATAAAGCAAGGTTTAGACAGAATAAATCGATAGGACAGTCTGGTTTTATGCAAGGCTGTCATATCAGGAACAATATTAGACTAGTTTATTGATGATGAGAGGTTTATTATTATCAAGTTGTTTTGGAGATACAGCAGTTCAAACATTGTACAGTGGATGTAATAATTTGGCCAAATTATGCTCATGGTGCTCACAAAGATTTGATATTAATATTGAATATGATATTTTTGGAGGGATTATTAGGCAAGGATGCCCCCTCTGCTGTTGCACACATGTAACTGCAGTCATGTACGCTGCACTTTCTCCCCTTCAGTGGTGTTGATGTGTTCCTCAGGGAAGAAGAGGCCAAGCGTCAGTGTGTGGAAGCAGAGCAGAAGCTCAGAGAAGAACGACAGCGTTCAGTGTCACTGGAGCAGCAGCTGGAGAAAGCCCGACTCCTCTCAACACCTCAGCGGAGCGCCACAGGTCTCGAGCGTGCACTGGAAACAGGTTACGGGCTAGAGAATGCTTCATTAACCAGCAATCTGTTGTATTTTCTTCATTGCTGTAGGAAGCTCGTCTCCCAGAAGTCTCTCTGAGGGCGCTCAACTCACTGAAGTGACTGAACTCAAAGCACAGTATGTCTTTCTTTCCTGAATGGTAACATTCACTAGTGTTCATTTCGTTAACAAAAACTATGAATTTTTGTTGAATACCTTTTTTTTTTTTTTTACATGACTAAAGCATGGTCGTTTACTTAATCTGTGTGATCTGGTCAGCACTGCTAAAGAAGTGCAGATGTCAGTGTAGGGAAGGGGAAATGAAGCCTCATAAAGCACTGACACAAAGTGATTCACAGCTGAGAGTGTTGAGAACAGCGCCATCTGGTGGATAGCTAAAGATAAAGCAGACACAAGCGTGTGGAAGAACCTGATGAAACAGACACACTCCATAGATAGAGTCAGTGCTGTGTGCACAAATAACAGCCTAACAGCCTGTGTGTGTGTGTGTGTGTGTGTGTGTGTGTGTGTGTGTGTGTGTGTGTTCTCCCTCTGCTAAATTCATTCACCCTTTTAAGTGTGGTAAAAAATGCCAGTATGAAATAATCAAATTAAATATGATGTAATAGAAGATTAATGTACACATATATGATTAACAGAGTTGCATATGGCAAGTACAAAGCAAATCTCTCACGTGATTGGACAGAAATTGAGGCTTTGTTTGTGGTCGATCATGTGACTCTGTTAAACCAATACACTGGAGATTGTGATCGACACGTAACATCATTATTTGAACTACCATTAGAAATTTCACCGTTTTAGAATTTGAGACAAGTTTCTTGTTTTACCAGTTTTCATAATGTAGAGAGTGTGTTAATATATAAGAGAAACAGCCTACAGTGAATCACTGGTACTGTCTGTTGTCCATGCAGGCTGGCGCTGCAACTAGAAGAAAATGAAACCTTGAGAACCGCTCTGAAGAACAGCTTGAGGGAAAAGAAAGAAGACTTCCAGCAGAGCCACAGAAAGCCTGAGCAGGGGACGTAGATCACACACACACACACACTAAATTAGTTCTTTCATGGCACCCAAACTTCATCAAGACTACATCAATCGAACCAGCATTGTTTGGTCACGAGAGATAATATAAATGAGAGAAACGATTCATGTTTCAGAAACTGTTGGAGGAAAAGTTATGAATAGAAAATAATAATGATGAGAACCTGCAAATAGTTGTTAGATGCTATTTATACTTGCAGTGGCAGGTACTATTTGCACCTATTATAAAACGGTATGCAATTATAACAACATATTCTGTGTATATGATTATATATGTATATAAAAACCATAAATGGATGCTGCGTTATTGTCCCAGTCCTAAAGCCCTCGTCTAACCCCATCCTTACCCAGACAGCAACATGGTGTCGGCCCAGATCCGGCCCACATCCGGACAACATGTTGCTGTCTGGGTAAAGCCCTCGTCTAACCTCACCCGTTAGGCACTTTATTTCCACTTTTCGAATATCTTCTTCATTTGTATTTAAAATAAATGCGATGGGGAAAGTGAGAGGAACGAGGCGGGTTCAGACTCTGGTCAGCTGACCTAACTCTGCTTCTGTTATCAGACAGGTTTCCTCTGGCCGAGTCACTGTAAACAGCCTCGGCCAACAAGTGTAAATAGACACATTATCAAGGTAAACCTAATTTTTTTCTTCTTGGCACTCTAAAGTGGAAACGAACTTCCCTGCCTTCGTTCCTGACGCACTTTGCTCATTAATACTTGATTTGTGTGTGGTGGTGTGAACTGCTGAAGCGCCGTGTCTCTGCTCTTGTTTACACTGAGCGTATCAGCCTGGGCATTCCTCCTCTCACGCTCGAGTTCCTCTCGTTCCTCTCGTTCCTGTGCGGCCGGAGGCGCTGCTGCGGACCCACGCTTCATTGACACCTGTGGCTGGAGCAGTGTGTTCCTCCTTCAACAGCGCACCATTTCATCTTCCCAGTAAAACACCATCCGGAACAAACTACACTCAGCGAATCTAAAGAGCTTGTGTTCGAAGTGAGATCTCAGATAAGATATGCCGATATCTGACACAGTTCACAGCTAAATGACATTTGCCTTGTGAAAGAGAAGCACACTTTCAGCACACATTTATAAAGAGGACTTATTATGGAAATAAGAATACTTTAAGGCACGTAATTGCATGTTATTTGCAGCTGAAATGAAAATGTATTATAGTTTAAATTTAAATGCAATTAGTTGGACTTAAAGGTAGTGATGGCAATTTCAAAACACTGCTTCATGCAGTATATCAAAGTGAGTCACGTGATCAGTTTTATACTTTTGTAGACGTTTTAATTAGATATTAGTATAATTTAAATGAATAATGGTAGTTAATAGTCTCTTATTGGCCTGTTTTGCTGAGCTATTTATAGAACAAACTAAACAAACCCTGACAACTGATAAAAGAACATAGACTCTTGATAATCTTATTACCGGTAGATGATTAGATTTTGCATTTGAAAGATTTTACTTTCAATAAAAAAAATTGCAATTTGTAAAAGGTGTTTTTATGCATGTTTGGCCTGGGTTTTTGTTGCATTACACTGTTCTGACCACTAGGGGTCACCGTGGAGACGGGTGTCGGATTGACTAGAAGCCTCGACACAATATAGCACATTAGCTTCAACTGTTTCAGCACCCGAGAGCCGAGGACCCTGGACCCGACCCGGGAGCCATACGGGTTCGGGTCTATATTTTAAATGGTTAGCCATTTAGCCATCCCCGGGTCTGTTTAATACCCAAGTCAATCAGACTTTGAGAACACCCGGCCGTGATCAGAATCAGTCAGCACTACTTGTGTGTTTTTTGTAACTTGCAACTTGTAAAATTAGGATAAGAAAAGTGTGAGCCGGGAAATAAGGCCAAAAGTTATTACGTTGGACGCAGCTGCCATGAGACCCACCAGTCTCTGAAACTGTTTCGCAGTGAGTGACTGGCCTAGTTTTACCCCATTTACGGCTGAGAGAATCGACGCTGTGCAAGCAGGGGACAGTCGTGCCCGCTTCGTCATCGAATCCCAAACCACGCCTAGAAAAGTGGTCCTCTGAGATGGAAGGAGCACACTCTTTATGTGAGGAGCAAGTAGACGGCCGAGACTGCTCCCGCCCATAGATCGACGAGGAAGAAACTTTCGAAATGCCGCTGCGTGTTTCTTCGCCTCCTGAAACCTCTCGACGACCTTATTGACAGAGTCGCTGAAGAGGCCAGAAGGCGAGAGCGGAGTGTCCATAAGACAGATCTATCTTTATCCTTCATATCAGACAGATTTAACCACAGATGTCTCTCCGTGGCCACCAGGGCTGCCATAGACCGGCCAACTGACTTGGCCATCTCCTTGGTGGCCCGAAGAGACAGATCTGTATTCTCGAATTGCGTCCGCGCATACTTCCTCACTTTCAGGTACCTTAGCAGGCCAGCCTGATATGCTTGCAAAATAGACATAGTATGCCAGCATGCTGCTGCCGAATGCGCTTTACCCACCAGCGTCGGTGTAGCTTTAAGAGGCTCGGTGGGTAAGGTCCGAACTTTAGTGACTCAGAAGAGAGATAGCTCGTCACACCATTGGACTGGCTCCACACGTGTGCTTCATGACGCAACACACAGGGGCGTTCCCACCGCGTCTCCACGCAGCTCAAGGTCCCTTGAAAGGGAAACTAAAACTTTTTTTTTTTTTAAGAATTAAAGGCATCACAGATTTTCATTATGGTCTCATAATACTATACTGACCTCCCTATATAGAATATTACTAATATTATCCACCCTTTTTCACGTGAGAGGGTTCGCGGCCATTTGTAAATTGAAAGTGTCTGGCTTCCGGTCCCATCCGCTTCCAGTTATTTTAGCAGTTGAAAACGGCTTGTTAAGCTGCTTAATATAGCAAGCTGGTATTTCTTATCATAATGTATTGTAATTATGAACACACAAGTTTGCATACTAATAGTTGCGTTTACGGCACTTTGTTATTATTTAGATCGGGATGTCTCGCACATTCACAGAAAACAGCCCACTTCCGGCTGGCAAAACAAACTGGATACTATTTTATTTTTATGAATAATTAAATAATAATAAGATATACTAAAATGCGAAGACGATTTTAGAAGACAAATTATTTCAGCCGTTTCAAAACACTCGGTACAAAACATAAGAACCAGTGAAGAGCAGTGGGAAAGCTGAAATATGTGGCTTTAAACCAAACAGTTTGGCATTGTTTCGCAAGACCCCAGTAGCCCTGAAAGGTTTATTCCCAAATCCACCAAGCCAAACGCGTCCCTGTGTCAACAGCGTGTAGGCAAACAGACTCACCTATCCGTCACCGCGCCGCTGAATGGGCCCTTTCTCCGGCGGCTCCTCCGAGGGATTCCCTCGCTCCGGACCAGTGATCCTCCACACCACTGACTGCGTGCAGGAGCTCGGGTAAACAAGCCCCGCTGGGCCGGCACAGGTTAAAGTGGACTGAGCCAGTCCTGACGGCGAGGTGAGAGCAAATCACGGTCGTGTGAATACACGCATTCATCTCAGCCGTGATCGTGGAACACATCAAACTATAGCAAATATCAGGCCACAATACACTACACTGCAAATGCAGAGCATTAATGAAATAAATATGTAATAATAAAAAAATAAAAAAAAATCGCGCACATCAGTAGAGTATATCCGCACAATGTGAGAAAAACAACGAAATAAAATAACTAAATATTTGTTCTGCAGAATGAAGGTTGTGGTTTTAGCCAAGTCAAATATAGCTATATATATATTAAATGGGACAGTTTATTGAACCTTTGGACAAAATCTCAAAATGTTTGCATGATGCATAGGCCTATTATTATTGATGCATCAGGCGTTTATGGCTCATATACAGTAGTCAACATGTGAAGTTCATCAAAGTTGTCCTAAGACATAAGGTATTGTTCAAAATTAATGTATAACTTTGATGAAAGGCTTTGATCCACTTCAAATGTTGACTACTGTAGACTATGACATGTAGGCATGGAGCTTTACTGAGGAAAACATATGCAGTTTGGTGCAGATGCTGATATTTATAGGGTGAGATG